AAGGGATTAGGTACTTAAGGAATTAGCTGTGCTAGAGGAGCAAAGACGAGGGAAGGCCATCAGTCAGGTTTGCCGCAAGTTTCTGAATGTTAAGACATTGCAAGAACTAAAGGAAATACCTGGAGGACCTCAGGCTGCCCACAGCATCTAAGTAATGATTTGTGGGGAAATGCCTGAGGCCACTATAAGATCCTCTGACTGCTGAATCCCATGCTTTTCTTCCCACCACTGCCTGAGGAACAGTAACACAGCTTGTTTCTCTCACCTTCTTGGTTTCATGTGAGTGACTGTCGGAGTCAACAAGGAATATTATTGAAAGGAGATTTTATAAATGTTCTTCCCAGGCTTTTACCCCCTGCAACATAGGGAAGAGCCTGGAAGTGGGGAATGGTGCTGAGTGGCAAATAGACCATCTGGGACAGTGATCTCTAAGACCATGTGGGATCCACTTCACTGCTTTTCTCCAGCTTTGGCTCTCTTATTCTTCTCTACTGTTCACCCTTATTCCGTACCCTACTAGACCCCAAATTTCAGACCTATTAGAGTGGGTGTTTTTAGAGGCCTTGAACAACTGACATTTACTATCTCATAGTTTCTGTGGCTTAGAGATTTAGGAGAAACTGATCTGGTGGTTTCAGCTCAGGGTCTCTCATTAGGCTTCAGTCATCTGAAGGCTTGACTGGGGCTGGAGGATCCACCTCTAAGGTGGCTCTCCCACATGGCTATTGGTGGGATGCCTTAATTCCTCGCTACATGGGCTACTTGTTAGGACTGATTGAGTGTCCTCACAAGATGGCAGCTGACTTTTTCCAGAGCAAGTAATCCTAGAGAGAGACCAAGGAGGAGAATACTAGAGTGCTTTAACTCCCTTGTTTTGGGAGCAGTTTGCCTGGTGTCTCAGGTCTGGTTCCCAGAAGCAGAACATGAGATGAAGATTTTTGGAAAGTGATACATGAAATATGTGAAATAAATATCTGTAAAATTGAGTAACTGAACAAACCCTTCTTCTAGTGGAGAAGCAAGATGCTTAGCCTTCCTAGGCCTGTGTCCATTTCTGGGGAGCTACCTGAGCAGGGACCATGTTGTCCCATCAACCATGGGAGTAGGCAAAATCCCAGAACAGATCTCTACATTTGGAGTGGCAGCACCCTCTAAGTCCATGTAACTCATACAGGCTTTTCCTTGCAAAATTAGGATGAAACTATATTTCTTATTTGTGGGTAGGGAAGTATTAATATTAAAAATATGAGATATATATTTTTAAAAGGAACCTTAGCTGGAGTTTCAATGAGCTCTTGGCTAAAAGTACATTTTCCTGCCTTGCCACATCCTGGTTGGGTCCATGTTACATTGTGAGCTGTGAGGGAAGGACTGCCATTTGTACTAGTAATTGTAATCCACAGGATTCAGGCATTGGATATCAGTTCAGACAATGAGAACTTTCAGACAAGGGCATATTGTCCATATTCATAGAGTTGTTCTCTACTTTAATATATGGAGATAAAAGGGAGCTGCTGAGACTCCCCTGTTTCATGGGTTATCATTCTCTTCAAGTTACCTTAGAAAAGTCTGAAGAAATAGCAAAGAAATCTCCCCAGTTTGTTCTGCTTTTCAGCTGCTAAGCCTTACACTATTTTCCTGAGGGAAAGTGAAATAGTTTCTTGCAAAGAGGGGCTTTTGTATCTCTAAATCTCATCTTTAGTTGTTGGTTGTTTTTTGTTTTTTTTTAATACCACAATGCTAGTTTTCTTTCCTCATCTCTTTTCCTGGGATAATGTCTGGCCCTGGTGAAGCTCTGCCTTTCCAGGACCTTCGTGATTCCTGTGCTCCAGGCCCCTCGCAAGATTTTACTCCTCTGAATGTTCCATGGATGGACCCATTTAGAATCAGACATGGAGTGGGGAGGGGAAGTCTTGATGTTCCTCCCAAGGAGGTTGATGGTGAGATTCCACCTCACATAGTGCCAAGAAGCTGTTTGTTCTTGGTTGTGGAGCTAGAAAACCTCAGCCTTTAGATCTGATTTCAGGAAGGTAAACCTATAAATGGAAAAAATTGTCAGGCACTTTTCACAACTGCTTTTTCATCCTTCCCAACTCCCACTGTATTGTCGTTTGGGTTTTTAGAGATGTTTAAGAGAAAGCAGAGGCAATGACAATGACCTTCTACTACTTTTGCTATGCTTGGAATCCTTGTTTTTGTTGAAAAGAGGGTCTGATTTATCATTTCCCTCAGTATTTCCACAAGAGGGAGACTGCTCGTCTCCTCAGGAAAGGGAGCATTAGGGCAAACACTTCTCTCTGCCTGATGATGGAGGGGAGCTGAGCAGGTGAAAGGCAAGACTGGTCCGTCACTCCTTTTCTCTCTGGCTGGCTGGCAGGATGTGTCAGTGCCTACCTGGGGTCCTGCAGAGGACTGCATGCATAAACTTGAGGCCAGAACATTTGTGTTCCAAGCAATGGATTTGCGGATGGAAGGCAAGAAGGGACATCAGGTCCAAGCTGTGTTCTTCCGCACAGGTCAGGGGAAGCCCTGCGTTTGAGAGGTTGTTGGGCCCTCACTCAGCCATTAATAAAGCTGACATTGGGCCCGCAGATCTTTTTCTTTTCTTTCTTTCTTTCTTTCTTTCTTTCTTTCTTTCTTTCTTTCTTTCTTTCTTTCTTTCTTTCTTTCTTTCTTTCTTTCTTTCTTTCTTTTGAGAGAGCACACGTGAGAGTGGGGGGAGGGGCAGAGGGAGAGAGAGAGAGAGAGAATCCCAAGCAGGCTCCATGCTCAGCGAGGAGCCAGTTGCAGGGCTTGATCTCAGGACCCTGAGATCATGAGCTGAGCCGAAATCAAACTGAGCACTTAACCGACAGTGCTACCCAGGCGCCCCTGGGCCTGCAGGTGTTGAAATATGACATCATTTGTTAGAACCCCCAGGGGAGGTGGGTGAACTCTTACATTCCCCATACTCTTGATGAGGAATGGCTCCCAGATAGCTTTGCATGGCTGTTGCCCGGGTGTTTCAAACTCAGTGTGCCTGAAAGTGAGCTCTTCTTACATCTGCTTCTCTCATGGTTCCTGCCTTGGGGATAGGCCTCTGAATTGTCATGGTGTCCTAAGCTGGTGGGTACTGGAGCTTCCTTTCTCACCATCCCCATGCACTGCCCCTCTAGGTGGCTGCACCCTGCTTATCACTCAGGTCTTAGCTGTGACATCACCTTCACCCAAATCTTTGCTGACCCACATGGCCTGGGTGTTCCTGGAGCCCCCATACTTACTCACCAAAGTCTGAATTCCACTGAAGCATGTTTGCCCCATCATTTCTTTGCCTTTTCCACTAGACTTCAAGCTTCTTGTAAGAAAGGTCTAAGTATTGTTTATCTTGAATACCAGCTCTAGCACGGGGCCTGCCTGCAGTAGCTGGTCAATCAATATTTCTTGAATGAGTACCACTTGGGTCCAAGAGTACCTGAGGCTGTATAGCATAGTGGTCACAAGCCCACCATTGGAACTTGAGGCCTGGGTCCAGACCCTGCTGTTTGTGGGATCTTGGGTGAGTTCCTCAAGTTCTTGATGCTCAGTGTCTTCACCGATAGGATGGGGGTAATAACTATTTCTTAGGACTGTGATGATGAAATGCTTTCATTTGTGCAGACCTCCTGGGGAACTGTGTGGCACAGTGTTTGGTGTTTCAGATCAGTGTCGACGGCAGCAGCAATACAGTTATCCTTAATGGAAGGGAGAAGACCATAAGCAAAACTTGGAATGAGAACTCATACATGTTGAGTGCCTGCATGATGGGTTTGAAGAGGTGGAGAGGTGGCTGGGAATCAAGGTTTCTAGCTAGGGCAATGCAAATGTAGGAGCAGATGGGATTGCTCTGGAAAAGAATGAATGGTGGTAGGAGGAATACGGTGGGAGAACCAAAGACAGAACCTTGAGAAATCCTATATCTGAGGGATAAGAGGAGTCAAAACAGGAAAGAGAGAGAATGATTGCCAGTAGGAGATTGTAGTTCCTCAGATGCCAGGGACAGGAGTTTTAAAAGATAGGGGTGCTGTGCTGGGCAGAAGGCTTGGGAGAAAACTAGAAGAGGCAGCAAGAATCCAATAAATGGGGGAGCATTAGTGCCCTTGTCTGTTTCAGTAGAGGCAGAGGAAGGAAGAAGCCAGGCTCTGCAAGGAGTTAGGGAAGGCCAGGTTAGGGACAGAATGGATACCCTAAGGATGATTGTTGTGCTGCAGATGCATATTACTTTGCGGGTAGAGGACTAATGTCACTATAATGAAGAAGTCACGTTAGTTCATACGGAGGGTTTTTTCTTTGCATGTTAACACTTTGCATTGATGGCTAATAGCAGCTGCATGTAGCAGGCCTCCTGGAGATAGGGAGCAGCACATGGTGCCTGGTCTCCCTGTACTCTCCTGCTTGGTTCTCTGGCATCTGCTTGGTCTTGAAGTGCTTTGGGGGCAGTCCTCGCCAATCTTTGTGCACTTGTTCCATACCACTTGGCAGCCTCAACCCTTCTGTTTACTCCTTCCATCATGCTCTCTCACCCCTACATTTTTAAGGTAAAGAGTCATATCTCTTAGAGTGTTTTTCTTAGGTATTTAATGTTTTTTAAAGTTTCTGTTTTTTTTTTTTCATTATGGTTACTGTTTTTGTTAGTGCTTGGGTTAAAATTTTAGTTCATTTCCCAGCCCTTTTTTTTCAATAAGCATTATTTATTATTATTTTTTTTAGTTTGAGCTTGTAAAACATTCGTTTTTAGCAATACCTATGTCTAGTTATAGACAACACTACCATGACTCCTTTTCCTAAGATTGAACAAAGGGGACATGGGAAGGAATGGCAGGGTCTAGAGAAGGTTTTCTCAAGGATCCAAAGACTTGACCATGCTTGGCTGCAAGTTGGTTTAAATCAGCTTCCACTTAGTGACATTTTCTAAGTGCTGTCCATTATATATTTAGGTGTTCATGTTTTTGCATTTTTATCTTCTCTGTGATATTTCTCTACAGTCTGAACAAGCATCTGAGGCTGAAATACACCCCCAGCTGAACAGAGCCCCCTCTCAAGCTGCAGACAGTAGTCCAACAAAGAAGGTAAGGCCTGTGGGAAGGTGCCTCTGTGATGGCATTGTGAGCCCCACCCCTGGGCTTCTGGTCTCTGTTTGCAGATCTGTTTTACTTTGGTTTCAGTGTCCTGACCTGAATGTTAATGATCCAGCTTTCCTAGAATTTGGTTTTTTTGTGAAGATTAGGGTGCTGATGATTCTTGGGTCTGACCTTGATGTCACTGACAGTTTGCACTTCCTCTTCAGCCTCCCAGCTAAATGGCGGCCTTGCTTTTGGCAAGTTGAGGAGGGGTGGTGGGGAGGGCCAAGTGCCTTTGGCAGAACCCTTCATGCTACTGAGGCTCTAGGAGGGCCTCTGGTGGGGGGCGGGGTAGTCTGCCCTTCTTTGTCCATGTGCCACAGTCCCCTCTTGCATCTTGGTGTCTTCACCATAGCCCACCAGTGTCACTGAGTCCCAGGTCACTTGCTCAGGAGGTGCCACTCACTTATTGTGCTCTCTGTTCACCTTGTTACCCTCTCCTTGCTGCTCCCCATTTTTCTAAGGCCCTCCTCTGGTCAGAGCATGGGTCCTGGGCTTGGGAGCACGGGGGAGGAGGGGCCTCCCAGGAAGCAGGCTGGCTGTCTCCTTCCAGAAGACACTGTGGCCCTTGAGCTTGGCTTCATGTATGAATTGGGAGTGGAAGAATGAGGAGCAGATGACTGAGACCTTCACAAACTTCAAAACTTACAACATATTCCCACAAGACCCAAAGTGAGGCAAGAGCGAGCTTTGTCTTCAGTCAGAAAAGGCCTCATGGTGTGAGATGCACACAGCATTGAAAAAAGGGAGGGTGGGCAGGTGGGCCACTGGAATCTGATTCCTGGGTCTTTTCAGGTGCAAAAAGCGGTAATAGGCTGCAAGCAGGGAAAGAAAAAAAAAAGGAAAAAAGAAAGGCCCCTAGAATCTGATGCCCATGTCCCTGCCCCCTTACCCCCCTCCCCCATTCTCGCGAAGCCATGAATCAGCTTTATATCCTCGGGTGTGGGGTTTGAACAGAGTGTGCACCTGACCTGAGAATGGGCCTAGGAGGAACATGAGCACATGGGCATGATGGGGGAGCATTTCAGTTTTTAACTTTTGGGTTTTATTGTTTTGTATTTAATCCACAGGACATACCATATTCTCAGCCTCCATCAAAGCCCATCCGAAGGAAATTACGACCTGAAAACCCAGCTCCAGAAAGCCAAGAGCCTTCTAGCACTGTTGGTGGGGCAGCGTTGGCAGTGACCGGGAAACCCCACACAGCAGTCCAGAAGTAAGTACGTCACATCAGGGAGGTCAGAAACTACCTTTTCAATCTTCGTATGCATGTACATGTAAATCTGTTTATATTTATACCCATGGCCATAGAAGAGTGTGATTTTATGGCTGTAGTTTTGCCTTCCTCCTCTCTGGTGGTACTACAGGCTCCCAGTCACCTAGAAAGAGACCTTCTAAGCTATAGGACTTAACCTGAGCCAAGGGGCAAGCGAGTACAAAGCTGTGGTGTTTCAGTTTGGTTTGATTTCCTTCCCTTCCCTCCTCCTCTTCGTCTCCTTCCCACCCCTCTTCCTTGTGCTGGGCCACGTTTTCCTAGGAAGAAGACAGTGATAAAAATGGCAGTTTCCCTCTTTGCCTGTCTTATGCTGCCCCCCAGGGCAAATGGCTAGCTTCCTGACCCTCAGACCCAACTTTGAGTAGATGTGCTTGTGATTTTTTTTCATTCCCCATGAAAATTTTCTGTTGTCGATCATCTCAGAACAGAATGGTCACCTGTGGAGCCTCCAGAATATCTGTCTGACTGCCTGTAATAGACATTGGAGAGGGTGGCGGGGTGTGGGGGCGTCTGTGGATAAGGCCAGGAACCAAGAGAATAATGCTCTGGACAAACCAATTTTCTTTTCTTTTCTTTTCTTTTCTTTTTTTAAGATTTTTATTTATTTATTTGAGAGAGAGAGAATGAGAGAGAGCACATGAGAGGGGGGAGGGTCAGAGGGAGAAGCAGACTCCCCGCTGAGCAGGGAGCCCGTTGCGGGACTCGATCCCGGGACTCCAGGATCATGACCTGAGCTGAAGGCAGTCGCTTAACCAACTGAGCCACCCAGGCGCCCTGGACAAACGAATTTTCTACAGAGACTTTGGCTTTAAGAAAGGCTATCACTCGCCTCAGTTTCCCTGTAGTGAAATTGAGCGAGGTGTTGAGGGCAGAAACCTGCTACTGTGTGTGACTTCACAAGTGAACTCGACTGGTCACTAACGTCAGTGCTCAAGATAAGCCCTGTGACACTGCTCTCAGGACCTTGCTGATCCCAGGAGCTGCTGTGGGTTTCTCCTGCTTACGCTGTTGTAGAAAAAGGAGCAACAGATTCTGTGGGTGCAACTTGCCTCTGAAGCCAAAACCCCATTGTGAATCTGTATAGCACTCTTCAGATGATGGTTTTGTTGTTTGTTTTTCCAAATAGACAGCTCCCTGGTGGTATCAGTGCATAAAGGAAATCTGTTTTGTCCTTAATGGCCCCTGAGAGCTTTGATCATCTTTCCACCACTGTCAAGCCTGGGGGATGGATCCCTGTCAGGGACACAGATGGCTAAACTTGCTTCCATGTGCCACCCTGGCTTTCCACTGGGTCTCTGCTTCACATTACTGCTGGTCAGTCAGTGGTGCTTACAGCACCCCCCGCTCCACCGACTGGATGGAGGGCAGCTGGTGGAGCTCCCGCAGAGGTCTTTTTCAGTTTCTTTCCTTCGTCTTTTTTTTTTAAACAGTTTTATTGAGATATAATTCATATAGCATACATTTCACCCTTTTACGTGTACAGTTCAGTGGTTTTTAGTATATGCACAAAGTTGTTCAACTGCTGTCACAAACTAATTTTAGAACATTTTCATCACCCCCAAAAGAAATTCTGTGCTGATTAGCAGTCACTTTCCATTCCCTGTCCATGTCCCAGGCAACCACTAATCTACTTTCTGTCTTTATAGGTTTGCCTGTTCTGGCCATTTCATGTAGATGGGACCATGCAACATGTGGTCTTCTGTGGCTGGCTTTTTTTCAGTTCACATAATGTGTTCAAGGTTTATCCATATTGTAGCATGAATCAGTACTTGATTCCTTTTTATTGCTAAATAATGTCCCATTGTATGGATATACCACATTTTATTTATCTTCTCATCACTTGATGGACATTTGGGTTGTTCCCACTTTGAAGCTATAAAGAATAATGCTGGTATACTATGTGTGTACAAGTTTTAGTGTGGACTTATGTTTTCATTTGTCTTGAGTATGTACCTAGGAGTGGAATTGCTAGGTCATATGGTCACTCTAATATTTTGAGGACTTGCCAAACTGTTTTCCACAGTGGCTGCAGCATTTTACAGTCCTCCCAGTAACATATGAGAGTTCCAATTTCTCCTGTTTTTTTTTTTTAATAAAGATTTTATTTATTTATTTGACACACAGAGAGAGATAGTGAGAGAGAGAGCACAAGCAGGCAGAGCAGCAGAGGGAGAGGGAGAAGCAGGCTCCCAGCTGAGCAGGGAGCCCGATGTAGGGCTCGATCCCAGGACCCTGGGATCATGACCTGAGCTGAAGGCAGACGCTTAACTGACTGAGCCACCCAGGCGCCCCTTGTTGTTACCTTTTTAAAAAAAATTATTACAGCCATCCTGGTGGGTGTGAAGGGGTATCTCATTGTGTTTTTGATTGCATTTCCCTAATGGCTAATGATGTTGAGCATCTTTTCATGTGCTTATTGGCCATTTGTTTATCTTTTTTGGAAAAATGTCTGCTCAGATCCTTTGCCTTTTCCTGCTTGGATTATTTATCTTTTTATTTTGAGTTATGAGTTCTTGACCTATGCTGGATACAAGTCCCTTGTCAGATGTATGCTTTGCAAGTATTTTCTCCCATTCTATAGGTTGTCATTTCACTTTCTTTTTTTTTTTTTTTAAGATTTATTTATTTGAGAGAGCGAGAATGAGAGAGAGAGAGTACATGAGAGGGGGGAGGGATAGAGGGAGAAGCAGGCTCCTTGCTGAGCAGGGAGCCCGATGCGGGACTTGATCCAGGGACTCGATCCCGGGACTCCAGGATCATGACCTGAGCCGAAGGCAGTCACTTAACCGACTGAGCCACCCAGGCGCCCCATCATTTCACTTTCTTGATGGTGTCATTTGCAGCACAAAAGTTTTTAATATTGACGGGGTCCAGTTTATTTTTTTTCTTTTGTTACTTGTGCTTTTGGTGTCAGAGCTTGAAAACCACTGCCTAACCCAAGTTCATGAAGATTTTTTCCTGTGTTTGCTCCTATAGGTTTTATAGTTTTAGCTCTTACATTGAAACCCATGGTTAATTTTGAGTTCATGTTTGTGTATAGTGTGAGGAAGGGGCCCAACTTCATTCTTTTGCATATAGATATACAGTTGTCCCCGAATTGTTTGTTGAAAGGAGATATTTCCTTTTATCTGCCTGTTTAGTGACTGTCCCTCATTGTGATACTCTCTCACTAGTTAGGTGACCACATGGTGTCAGACCGAGAGAGGCTAGCGACCACAGCAACACAAATAGTGCTGTAAATGTTGGATGTAAGCTTTGGGTCAGGGAATTTCATACAACTTGTTTTAGTTCCTAGACTACTTTATTTGGGGTTGATAAGAAGCAACTTAGCATTCATCATTTTTTAAGCCCTGGAGAGAGAGACAGCCAGACACATGATCGTTAGTCTGTATAGTTCTTTCTCACCCAGGGTTCTGGGAAAGAATGAAACTCTGATGCCCTTAGACATCCATTGTCTGTAGGATCTTAACTTCTCTCCTATGCATGTAGAGTGGTCTTTACTGTGTATTGTTTTGGGGAAATTTGAGAAAAGAGTCACAAATAATTTTCTTAATTATCTAACAGAACACTGGTTAAGGAAGGCCAAAAAAATAAACTAGTTGGAAAATGGTCATCCTCTCTTTGGGAAATGAACGTCAGAACTGAACTATTGTTAAGAAACAAAATCTCTTTCAGATATTGTCATTGTCTATTTCATTTAGGGCAAAGGAAAAATAAAATAGTCTAAGTGAGCTGCTGAGTCCAGATTATAACTAATAAACAACTGTTGGATTGTGTCAAAATTACTGAGCTGCTTGTAAGGACAAAAGTAGGTTTTTTAAAGAAATAATTTGGCTTACTTGGTTTCCCCTCACATCTTGTGCATCTAGTAAAGATGGACTTTGGGAAAATAGAATGGTTTGAACAGTTTAGAGAGAGAGGATGTTGTATAGCAGTACTACGACTGAAACTGTGCCCGCCTCCATGGCTTTTGCTCTTCTCTATAACCCCGGGAAGTGTCCTGGACCACCCCAGGGCATGCCCAGCAGCCAGTGTGGCAGTGTCTGCTTGCCTGCATGACATTCTCAGTGTGGTTGGGAGTCTGTTTTCCTTCCTGCTTCATGGCTGGCAGTACTGGAATGTCTGTGGGGTTGATGAGTGGCATCCCTAATGAAAACCTGCCATTTCCAAGTAGAGAAAAGGCAATACAGGTTCAATTCTTAGAAGCTGTGCTCACAATTCCTTGGGAGAAATCAGGGCTCAGGTTGAAGGCTAAGATTTTTCTCATCTAGAGACCCCAGTTTATATTCTTTCAAATATTGGTTCAGCTGCCTGAATGTAACCCAGGTAACAAGCACTCAAATAACATAGAAATTGACTTCTTTCTTGTATAAAAGTCTGAGTTGGTGAGTGGTCCCAAAGCATAGAGTAGCTCCGTGCAGGAACCCAGGTGCCTGCCCATATTCTTATTCTAGATCCCCATGGGGGTTGCCTTTATCCCTGTGGTTGAAGATGGCTCCCTAACATGTTCACATTCTGGGCCCCAGAGAGGGGGAAGGAACAAATGGAGAGAAAACAGACTACTTTTAAGGGTATGACTCAGAAGTGGCATCTCTGATCCCTTTGGCCCAAACTTAGTCATATGGTCTTACCTACCTGCAGAGAGACAGGGAAATGTAGTTTCTAGTTGGAGGGCCACTCAAACTGAGAATAATAGGCTACTGCATGTAAGAAGGCGCAAGAACAGGTTTTGGAGGATAGTCTGCCACAAAACCTTGAGTGGACAGTGCCTCACAGTGTTGCAGTTCTGAATTGATAGATAGCATGACACACAATAGAGTGAGACAAAATAAATGTCTACTTAAGTGTTACTCCTTCATTTTCCTCCCTGGAAACCATGCCAGTTAGAGCACAGCCTGGAACAGTGAGTAAAAATACTGGGAGGACCTGAAGAGAGAAAC